CAAATCTTGAGTTTCACTTAAGTAGATTCCTAAAAGACGTTAAAGCTTTCAGTTGTTTCTTAATAATTTATTCCACACTTAACTCTCTCTAAGACTCTTAACTGCTTTTCAATTCCCCACGGACTGCTGGCTCCTCCTGTCTGCTTCACCCCTCCCTTTATGTTCCACTGGCTCCACCTCCCAACAACTCTTATTGGTGCATGTCGATACACTCATACATATGCATAGGCAGGGTGATCGCTACAGGGATCAACAAGTTGAAGAAAGAGAGACTGCTGTATTTGGGCAGTGTCTCCTTCTGAACCAGAAACACATACACCCCAAAATCAGGGAGGTCACTTGGATTCAGTGGCGTCCCCCAAAAACCTTTTTGTGATCACAAGTCCTCATGAATAGGTCTTAAATCCTACTGGATTCTCTGAAATGTAGCCAGTAGACTCCAATAGGATTATGTTTCTAAATTCTGCACATGAATATTTGGGGACTAAATATGTTTTGTACAAGGATTGATTCTACCTCTTTCATCAAAACTGCCAAAGATGCTGGAGGATATATTTAGAAGGAAGACACATTAAAGATACAAGAAGGAGGAAAAGGTTTGAAAGTAGGAAAAGAGAAACACTTTAGATCCTAAAAATCAAAACTAATGAATATTTCATAATAAACCTGGGGATTGTTATGTATCTTTCTGAGTTCTTGCACATTATCGTTGATTGGCAGATGTGCTACTTCTATAGCACAATGATCTTAATAAATTCTCAGGGATTTTCTAATTGCACAGCTATTAATTACTCTTAGAACTGCAGTAAAATTTCAGTGGCTCACATTTTGTAGCACTGAGCTAATGCTTATCTATCCTGTGGTTGTCATGGGAACTATAAATCATGATTTTTTTTTAATGTAAAATTCTGTGTAAGTTAAATTACATGGTGCATGCAAACTGCAGACTAAATTCAGCATTAGTCCTCTATAGAGTAGACCCACTGAAATGAACAGAATGTTTTAATTGCGATTGATACATGGAATGTAATTCATTTACACAGAGTTTTGACTTAATTCTTAATTTAGTGGATCTATTCTAGGTAGGACTAACACTGGATTTAGCCTTTCACCATTAGCAAAGTGTATATGTGTTTCTTTACTTAAAATAAGCAGCACTGTTGTGATTATATTAACATATTTATATTAATAGCATTTTAATCAGCACATATAGGTACTCTTTATAGGCGTTGATGTTGCATCAACACCTGAATCATCACCATTCCTCTCATCTTCTCCTCACACCTTCTCTTTGCCCTCCATCATCATCTTCAGTTTCTCTCAATCCTTACCCACATAAATTTCAATCAATCTGTTTGATCCATGCACTCCTGATATTTTATTAGGCATTGATTACGAAATTTAAAATCCATTTTATCTGTCCCTCTTTAGCATATATTTCACTTCATTTCATTTCTGTCTTGCTTTTCTCCCCATGTGGGAATCAAGAAGGCTTACAAGATGTGTAAAAAAAAAACCCAATGCAACTAAAACACAGTATGAAAATGTAATTTAATTTATTATGGATTTACATAAAATATAATTCAAGATACGATCAAACAGAAAGATCACTGTATCATGTGTAATACTTATACATATGCCAGATAAAAGTTGTGCCATTGATCTGACAAGGTGTCAGCCATTTTCATCCAAATATATGACTGACAGATTTTCTCAGAAGGTTTTTGAAACATAACCTTCTTACAAGGGTTCATAAATAAAGCATCTCATAACTGCCTACTTACTGTTGTTGTAACCTAGAGGGTATTTCCTGGGTTTGACAAACACAAGAGATTCTAACTCTGGATACTGAGCTGAAGTCCATTTGTGATCATCACCATTATCTACTGCTTCTATTTAACAAAAAGCAATTCAGTAATTTCTTAGCATATTTCATTAGTGGTGATGGTATAACACACATGAAGTTTTAATTGCACAGTTTTAGTATAAAACATTGTAAACTTTTCTAGAGCTAAAAACATATTTTTGTTGCGGAAAACAGTTTTTTGCTATTAATTCGTACACACTTCCGTTTCTTTATGTGGATCATGACTATTTTAAATTTTATGTTTGTTTTGGTTGGGTAAGCTTGTTATTCCAGATTCTGAAGCTATTTCAATGTTAGGTTCCCCTACCTACCCACACAATCCTTATATTCCCTTTTCCAGGAGAAATCATATATAAGAATGAGGAAATGTGAGAGGAAATGATCAAATAGCCAAAAAGACACAGAGATCTTCAGGGATCTAAGCTAATCACATTCTGGTCATCAAAGGAATATATATTACTCTTATTCTGTGCAGTTTTATCATTTTAATATTCTCACTGCTGTTATTTTAAAAAAGCATTGTTTTGGTGGGTTTTTTTTTCCTGCAAACATCTGTGGTTTAACAGTGAAAGAATAAATCAGTGCATGAAATGTCATGCTCTGGTGTTCTCTGGGCTTACTATACTGCAACTCCTATCATTTACTACCATCAGATTCACTAGATATAATAACCCAGCAGGAGTTGGGTCCCAATGTAGCTGGAGGTGACTACACTGGTCTAAAATTTCAGAAAGTGGGTCATAAGGAAAAACAAAGTGCATTGTTCACCAAAAGTTATTTTTGATTTTCACTGACAGTGATGGAATGAGATGCAGCTACAATTAAAGCACAATCTACATATTATATTTTCCGTCGAGATCCCCAGGGCAGCCTCACTAGCTTCTTGCCAGTGCACTGTTTAAGAGCTATTGCCTTGTGAATCATAGCTGACAATAATTATGTTTTCCCCACCCCTACTCCTGTCATCCACTCACCAATTAATAACCTGATTTGTATATTGGTGTTCCATATACAGAATACTCAAAAGAGGTTTGTATAAAGTAAGGGAACATAAGATACATAGGTACCCATATTAAAGAACAGCCAGACCAAGTGCATAACAGTAACCCCAGTTTCTTAACAATTCCAACCTGAAGACCAAGGCCAAGATCAGCCATCATATGGTATTACCAATTGCTATACATGGTGTGAAAGTTGAACAGTGAAGAAAGCTGACAGAAAAAGAAAAAATCATTTGAAATATGGTGTTTGGAGGAGAGTTTTACAAACTCCATGGGCCATGATAAAGACAAACATGAGGATGCCAGATCAAATCAAGCTTGAGAGCAAAAATGACTAAATTGAAGCTACCATACTTTGCACACATTGTACGAACATGACAATATTTACTAGAAATGGTAATAATATATTCTCAAAGGCCTTTGCAGCCAGGATCCGATGGTTGTTGTAGGTTTTTTGGGCTGTTTGGCCATGTTCTTGAGGTTTTTCTTCCTAGCATTTGGCCAGTCTTTTTGGCCGGCATCTTCAGAGGACAGGAGTCAGAACTTGTGCTCTTCAGAGCACAGACAGAGTTCTGACTCCTGTCCTCCGACGATGCCAGCCACAGAAACTGGCAAAACATTAGAAAGAAAACCTCAAGAACATGGCCAGACAGCCTGTGATTGGGTTCTTTGAAAATTCTGACAGTTCCAAGTTTTGCGTGGGGAAAATAAAGCATTGGCTCATTCAAACTGTTAACTGATTTATTCAACTTAGGATCAGGGGTATCAACAACAACTTCTGTAGGGTATAAATAATTCAACTCTTGTAACTGTCCATCAAACTCAGGATATTCTCCATAATTGACACTGTCTCTTAATACTGGGAAGCCGGACCAAAGTGCTCCTTGTTGGTTGGTTTTCTCAGAGGGCTTCTGACCCTGAAGATTGTGCCACAGCACAGGTGGCGGGCCCAATCCCCCTCGAGGGGTGGTTTGTTGTATGTAGGATAGGGATGCACCACCTTCTTCCAGTAACGCCGTCCTCTCTGGAGGACAACTACTGTCCATTCCGATGTCTCAGTGATCATCACCTCCTCCTTTCCAGGTAGTGGATCGGGCAGAAGTCCTCCCACTTTTAGATTAGGGAAATCCTTTACAAGTGCACTCACATTCTCCTTACTCTCATCATCCTTCCTTCTTATTCCTGATGGAATCCACTCACATTCTCCTTACTCTCATCATCCTTCTTATTCCTGATGGAATCCGAAAAACCCGCTGTCCCATAGACTGTTTTATCTTCTATTCCCACACATTAATCTCTAACTCCTCCTCCTTTCCCTTCCTCTCTTCTACTAGACAGATTTCAGTTTTAACCCCTTCCTCTTTGGTTCTCCCTCTTTTCAATTCTTTTTCCCCTTCTTTCTTTGTTATAACACTCCTTTCCTCGGGAGGAGATGTCACACTCTTTTTCACCAATTCTCCTTCACACAGCCCAAAAATACTATAACAACTGATGGCAATAATATTTGGAAAAGTTGAAGGCAAGGCAGCAAGAAAAAAGAAGTGGGATGAAAATGGATTGATTCAACAACAAAACTCCACAATCTTGAGTTTTGCAAGGCTTGTTCAGAGGTTTTAATGAGAGGACATTTTGGAGGTTATTAATTTGTAGAATCACCATATGTTAGAAGCAACTTACTGGCATATAAGGATAACAAAAGTTCCATTACCGACCGATCAAAACAAAACAGCCTTTGGTCTTCCTAATTAACAATACCAGAAGGCCATGACTTTAAAAGACTTTCAGAGAGGAATGTTGACCTAGCCCATGCCACTGGTAGCTCCTGGGAAAGGCACTGTAAAGGACTTTAGATGATGTGGGATGTGTGTGTGCTGCACACTATGTGAAATTTATCACTGCCAGCTCTTGTTGCCAATACCTCTGTTGGATATAACTATTCCCCAGCAGCACCCATATCACCAGGTGCTGCTGGCTTTTGAAAGTAACCACTAAGGTAGCTCTTCTAAAAATTCAGTGCATAGCATGCATTAAGGCAACTAACAATCTCAGTGGAATCCAGGAACAAGACTGCAGTCCTAGCCATGAGCTAACTTCCCCTTTTTAAATTCTTTTTGTCCCTTACTGAATCAGACCTGATGTGGTGTCCCTGGTTGATGCTATATTTCATCTTGCCAGCATGCCATTCAAAGCTCTGTCTTCTTTTACAAGTCCCTGCAGTCAGAGAGAGAGAGAGAGAGAGACAGAGAGAGAGATGGGAAATAAATAATGTATGAGAAGACTGGCATTCAGGATTTGGGAACAATAGCTTAATTCACAGAGAACAATGGCCAGTGTGTCTCCACCCCAAACCATCCTTGCAGTTAAATAAGTGACAGAGAGGCTCGGGAGAATCCTGCTGGGCTTTGGCTTGTTGTCAATACAATAAAGCTTCCTTTCTCTACTTCAGAAGTGATTCCCAACCCCCACTTCATAAAAAGAGGATTTGGGTGCCCAGTTATTTGGCAGTCTCTTCCATCCCCTGTTTCTGCACATAGCTTCCTTTGCTCCTTCCATTTGCCTGATTCTCCCAGGATAGCAAGTCCAGTACATTCTTTTCTGTTTATAGTGAAGTTGCTCGCTTTTGTCCAGGCTTAAATGCCATGCTGCTGAAGCTGTGTTTGTTCTATACACAGTCCTATGTATGCCAACCTCTTACTTATTACTCTTCATATGAAATCCTACCTCAACACATTTTAGCATGAGGTTTTGATATGCTATCAGTCTCATTACAAAAAGGATTACCAAAACTGCTGCTTCCTTTCAGAATTTGGCACACGGGTTCTTTGTTATGAGCAGCCTGATTTGATACAATCCTGTAGCTGGTGCTCATTTCTCTCTCCAGCTTCTCTATAACCCTCCTAATACCCCTTAATTATATCCCTTTTTCATGGTATATCACTCATTCAGGGCTAGATGATGGGCTTGGTTTTTTATAGAAGCAACTCGAGAGATCAAACATTATTAAGAATGTAGAGGGAAGGAGAAAAGTGAAGAAAATGTAGTATCTCAGTAGCCATGTCAGAAAAGGTAATTGTTTATCTCAATGAATTCTGAGGTGCAATATTTTTTCTTAATGATATGATGAATTTTAAAGACACAGTTGGATCTACTGATTATGTCAGTACTAATTGTAAGCTCACAGCTCTCCTAAGAGAATGCTGAGGCTGGAATAGAGAGGTTCAGAGTCCAGTTGACCCCTATTTAAGTTGAGATGAGTCCTTGTCTCAACCAGGCTGTCCCACTGGCACCCTTTTGCCAAGTCTATTCCCACTTAATAATCACTGAGAAAACCAAGTTAAAATCATGAGTCTTAGAGTCATCCAGAGCTCTCAAAACTCAGGCAATTACTGGACTCAAAGTAGCTTGATTTGTGGCCTTCTAGAAAAACCAATTAAGTAATGTAGCAGGTTATCTGCTCAAGAGACCAAGCATTAGAGTATTATTGTTTTATTAGAAAAATAAAGAGTTAGAGATATTCAGTTTGTTGCAAAGCATAGCATTCAAAATCATTTCCATAATCTACTATCGTTAGAAATCTAGCAAATTCCAGCTACAGGAAATAGGAAAATTCTACTAGCTAGAAAGGCAGGTAAGGCTAAGCCCCCTTTCTATTCTCTTATTATAAACTACATCTTACCATTGGGAACTCCAAAGTCCATTCAAAAATCAAAAATCCATGGTAACATCCAATAGTCCAAAAATGAATCTAAAAAGAGTCTCCCTCCCTGTAACACCCTGTCATTTTCTTCACACCCTGGTAACACCTCCTTCTTCACTCTCCACTGACGTAAGCCAATCAGGACGAAGGACTGCTCATCTCTCTCCACCTCCTTTTCTCATGGGATCGCAGGTATTGTTGACATTCTTCCTCGATGTTGTGGCTCGGTTCTTCGTCTTCGGCCTTGGCCAAGCTATCTACATGATAACATTCCTAACTAGCTGCAAGAGAAAACAACTTCTCGATGCTTCTAGTAAAATGACACAGACTAAGATGGATTCACTCTACTCCATTCCATGACTACAAATCGCATTTAGAAATTACATTTTAGCTTCAATAACCTAAACCATGACACTGATGAGGGGGAAGTCCTCTGGCAGTATGATTTAAACCCACTTCCAAAAAATGTCAACAGCATTTTGGTCTATTTTTAGTGGTCTTTAGGATTTTGCCTAAGGGCTTTGTAGAGAGCATGCTCTGCAAAGAAAGCCACAAACAAATACACACATGCACACACTCTGCATATGGGCACTTATTTTTTAGCAACATGATGCTTATTCTTTTGTCTGCCCAAATGACTGGAATTAGGGATGTGCATGGTGAAAATATTCATATTTCTTTTGTTCCAAGTTCTTCCAGGGAGTGCATCTTTCATTTTTACACTTTTGTTTGTGATCCGCTCACTTCATATGAAATGGAAGGGAACTTTAGTTTCTCATTTGTGTTTCCTGACACCCCAAAAGACTGAAGAACCCTTAGAGACTATTTAGAAAAACAAACAAACCCAGAGGCAAAGTTTTGGGAGTCCTGCTGGATTCTCTTTTCACTTGCCCCTACAGACAAGAGTACATGAAAAATTAAGATCATCATGAGGCATATCCTGACGCTGGTTAATATGATCACATTCATTATCAGCACCAAACTCTCAATCTACTGCCTTGTCCCTCCACACACACCTGATTTCTGTTCCTCCCCCAGTGCTAGCTGGGAGCTTTCAGAAGGAAGTGTGGGCAGAGCTTGGCCTAGCTAAGCCACAATACCTTCCTTCTAATTTAGGCTTTTCTCCCAGGTGCTTCACACTGAGCTATTTGAAAAGTGCCTGAAAGGTAATTAGAACTCACGAAATGGAGAATTATGGTTATTTGTTTTCTAGGAAGTCCAAAAATCCTAGCTCTACTCCACAGAAGGTAGTAGATGCACTTGGATGGCCTGTATCTGGAGGAATTTTGGTCCCAGCCCAAGATGGAGCACTGTATATGGCCTAGGTCTTTGATTGTATCCTTCTTGAAACTATGGTGGATGTCAGAAGATTTCTTTTCAGCTATACAGGAATGTTGAATTATGTGCATCAAGTTGGAACAGACTTATAGTAACCCTAACAGGGCTTTCAAAGTAAGTAAGACATTGAAGGGACGGATTTACCAGTTGCACACACTCAGTGAGTTTCCATTGTCAAGTGGTGATTCAAACCCAGTTCTCTTGAGTTCTTGTTCATCACTCTGTCCACTATGCTACACTGGGTATCTAACTACTAGGTCTTTTTTATTAATTTATTAATTTATTTGATTATTAATATATGCATCTGGTACATTTTTATTCTGTCTTTTTTCCACTGAGCTCAAAGAAAGGTACATGGCTCTTTTCCTACTTAATGAGGTAGGTCATACTGAGAGGAAATTTGAATAGCTTAATGTCACCCAATACATTTTGTGAGGACTGGAACCTGGATCTCCTAAATCCCAGTCCATCACTTTCACTACTAAAATATACAGTGGTGCCCCGCATAGCGAGGTTAATCCGTTCCGGATTAACCTTCGCTAGGGGAAACATCGCTAAACGGAACGGAAAAGCCCATTGAAACGCATTAAACTTCATTTAATGTGTTCCAAATGGGCCCAAAACTCACCGTTCTGCGATGTTTCCCCATCCGCGAAAACGCTGCGCGTGGCCATTTTGGGTGTTCCGGCGGCCATTTTGGAACCGCCGAACAGCTGTTCCCCCATCGCAATGCGATAAAACATCGGTATGCGATCGCATTAGCGATTGCAAAATCCGCATCGCTATGCGGATTCATCGTTAAACGGTGCGCTCGTTATGCGAGGCACCACTGTAATTAAAATTCCTTGCCACATAGTCAATTTTACAATTTAAAGGCAGCCACAAACTATATATACGGGGGGGGGGGAACCTTTGATGCCCTAAAGGAAATATTTTATCCTATCTATATCTTAGTTGTATCTTTATAAGTCACCACAAAGCAAAATACACACTGATACACAGAGGATTCTATGTCAGGAAGGCACCTGGCTAGATATTAAATTCCTTGCCACATAGTCAATTTTACAATTTAAAGGCAGCCACAAACTATATATACGGGGGGGGGGGAACCTTTGATGCCCTAAAGGAAATATTTTATCCTATCTATATCTTAGTTGTATCTTTATAAGTCACCACAAAGCAAAATACACACTGATACACAGAGGATTCTATGTCAGGAAGGCACCTGGCTAGATAGTGCAGTATGTTAGAATACTATAGGTAGGGAATTCAATACGTTACCATGTTTCCCAGGAGAAGATCCAGCCTGTATAGTCATGGGCAAGTTGCCCAGTTCTAGATTGCTAATAGAAGAAGAGACTTACAATACTTTTAAAAATTTAATGGCTCCAGAGGAATATTGGTTCTAAAAATCCTCGCTATCCCAACCCTATAGAAGTTCAATCATTTCCGATGGCTTTAATTCACCTTTTGATATTATTAAGGCTATAAGCCATTGTAGTCATTGATAATTGCTAGGGTCAAAAGTCCTGTTTTCTCTTTCATGAGTGTAAGAAGAAACCACACAAATTTCCCTTTGCCAACAGTTCTGCTTCCTAGTATTAATTGCAAAAAGATTTCTCAGAAGCATGCAACAGGACTAAGGCTTCAAGAAGAAAGAGAATGCATAGTCTGGGCAGGCAGCCAAGCTACTCTTACTAGTAGTATCAGTACAGAAAAGGAGTGTCCAAGCTGAAGTCAATAGTCAAAGGCTGGTAGTTAGCAGAGACCTCAATGAAGGAGAAACATGTGACATAATTATCAACAGCCTAGGTCATTCAGGGCATAGTAGCATGATTCTGCATGTATAGGTACAAATGGTATTGAACAGTTCCCAGCAGTGAGGGTTTCAGAGCCAGCTGATCATATGCTGCTGGGGAGGCTGTCATTACTGGGAGTTACAGCCAAGACTCTTGAGCCATTTTGTTCTAGGTCGCATTGTGAGCAGAGACTGACTGTCAAGTAGTTCTGCTACTCCTCAGGAAGCCCATGCCCATGAGAAGCCCAATACTCCTTCACAGTAACTGTAGCCAGTTCTTTCCCTTTTTATAGCATCATTCATGCAGCATGGGAGGAAGGCCATGTTCTTCATCCAAGTATACTCTTCATCTGTAGGGATTATCCCTTGCACACCTGAAAACCCTAGGTGAATAAGGAGGAACAAGCTGTTCCTCCTTATTCACAGACTCAAGGAACCTTCATCTAAGAGGAGAATTACATATATATTCAGTGGGCCTCAACTGGATATTTTGTATTCATGAGAATGATTTTTTGTGTGTGTGCAAATAGCCTAAATAAAATAGTGGTTGCCTTCTGCATGGATTTCTTTTTAAATAGAAGAACCAGGTGGGTTGTTTGTTTCTTTTTATCAGACATTCTGGTCCTTGGATGTGTCAGAATCTTTTCCCACAAATTGCAAACATCTCAAGAAAGAAAAGAGTGTTGTTTCACACATTGGAGATTATGAGGCTTTGGGGTTTTAAAGGTTCCTTGACATGGTGTCTCCTCAATTTGAAATGGTCTAAATTGAAATGAACAATTATAAATATAGTAATTGCTTATAAAAAGGAAGTATCCTTCTTAAATAGTGGATATTAGCATAATTTTTGTCTCATGATGTCTCATGAGCATTGAGTGTAGAACAATTACAACATCATAAAAATATATTTGTGGTGATGATTCATTTGGTGCATTCAAAATAGGAATAGCCTGCTTTACAGCACTGTTGTGCTTTCTTTAAGCATGTTATCATTTATTTTGAATTTATGGGATTTTTTAAAAAGCTGGCAGATTATGCAGTTCATCAACATTCAAATAGGAGAAATGATAGCTGATCATTTTCTTTCAATTTTGCAAATGAAATGAAATTGAAGACAAATAGGGCTTGGTAAACATAGAAGATGGGGCATTCTCCTTTAAAATTCATGTTTGTATACAACATACATTCATACATCTGTCAACCAAAAGTTCTCTAGAATGTTCCAAATTAAAAATATTTATTTTATTTTATCTTTATTTCATTTCATTTTTACCCTGCTTTTCTCACAGCAGAGGAACTGAAAACAGCTTAAAATCATGAAAGATGAAATAGATCAGCAGCAAGAAATCTTAAAAGCAGTATCAGAATAAGAACAGGAAATATCAAAAGTGAAGGGAGTCCTTTACTTAAGACATCTGAGGAAAATACACAGGTCTTCACCTACTGTCTGGAAAACCACAAACTAGATGCTCAATGACCCTGTGTGGAGAAAGCTTTGCACAATTGGGGCTCATCCATTGCAAAGGACTTTTCTCTTATCCTCACCTGCCTTTCCTTATTTGGTGACCAGAAGTCATAGTGAACTAAATCAAACTGTTAGTCTTACTTGTAGTACCAGAATAGCTGCTGTCTCAATGGAATTGAGGCAAGTGTTGACAGACCAAAGTCCCATAGGTTCAATGGACTGACTAGTTAAGGCTGACAACTGATTTAGCCCATTATGCTTTCCAAAGTGTAGAAGTTGTGGCAAATGGAGGTCATGCTGATCTCAGCAGTTTTCATGTAACAGCACTTTCCAACTCTGCAAAACAATTCTTCATTCTTCTCTAAAATACAGTACATCAAGTTCAAGCCCCAGCTATGGCATTTATCAAATGTTGTGCCAAGAAGACCATTACTGCTTCATTAA